TTGAAGAATAAGACGAGACCGCGAGAATGTGTTGATGAGGTCCCAGAGTGGATTATTCAGGAGAGAGAGACAAGGGAAAAGCTGAAGAAGGAAAAGGAAAAGGCCGAGGTGTGTCTCATTAATATTGGCAACTACCGACAACGTTATTAATCGACTTTGTAGCGCGAGGCCAAGGAGAAGAAGGAAGCCGAGGAAAAGGAAAAGAAAGAGGTTGGTCATTAGCTTTAATACCTCTAGTCTTATCGCTGACACTTATCATTGCAGAAGGAAGAAAAGGAAGCAAAAGAAAAGGAAGAGAAGGAAGCTAAAGAAGTAAGACTTTCGTCGAACCAACTGTTTTTTATCGTACTAACCAGTCTTGCCCATAGAAATCTGAGCGCAAGGAAGCTCGTAAGGCGAAGAAGGCGCGCGATGCAGCTACCTCGTCCAAAACTGAAACTTCCACAGCTTCGACCTCCATCGATGCAGCTGCTGCCCCCACGACAACTGAGACTACTAGCGAATCCTCCAGTTCCGAATCAGAGAACACCACCGGTGTTGACGCTGACACTGAGGAAAGTGTGACATCCGAGGAAGACGACTCTGACAAAGATGCGGCTGTCGCCAAGAAAGAGAAATGGGTAGCCGTCAAGTCTGCTACCGCTCCCGCCGCCGCCGAGACAACAGATGTTGCAGTGGCGGCACCAGCCTAGTGGCATCGTGTTGTGGGTTTGGTTTGCACAATAAGCGTTTTACGCGTCCGTTCGAATGAATGTTTTGTGTGTTGTTTTGGACTCATCTCTTGGTTACCGCAGATCCTCTTCTCCAAATCTCTTCCGCTACGTTCCCACCATGGACTGATTCGAAGAGTGGCTTTCTGCGGTATGGCCCTGCGTTACAAAGTACCAACTACAACTACCTTATTTGTTCTCGCTGTGGTTGTCCGTGTTCTGGCCCCCTGCTCTACTGCTTGCTTGCTCGGTATTCGCCATACTCCCGTCTTTACTGGCTTTCCTGTATATATCTTGGCTTTGTGTCGTGTTCCCGCGTGTTCTTGTGTTGCTAAATAGAGATAGACCAAATCAAAGCCTTTCGGGAGGTACTCGTAAAACCATTTTGAAAAAACTGAGTATGTTCGGGAAGAGATCAATCAAATATTACATGAAGTCGTGAATATCATATTATCATGAAAGGCATGTATGTAACTATATATCTAGTGCAAGATGTGAATAAGAAACCGGCTGGAACCAGGAGAGAAGTTTAACTACAATAGATGAATCCAGTAATCGTTTTTGTTCAAACAACACAATCTATAGAGTGCGTTACTGTATGCACGGTGCGTATGTCGTATATACTTGTGCCCATCGATCCACGCCCATATGGTGGCAACGTCATTCTCCCGCTACACACGTTCCCGCCTTCAAACCAAGGCTTCAACTTTCATCCCTAGACCCCCTTGACACTAACATCTGACAAGGTTTTGAAAGCTTCCTTGTATGCATCAAGCAACGCTTTAACCCTATCTCTCTCCGCAACAAGCGCCTCATCTTCATTCAACAGCTCTGCAAACAATTCTGGCTTGTAAAGTGAAGCAACCAGGCGGTTCTGAACGTGTTGTGATGTGTGGTTTACCAAGAGATGCATGATGGCTTTGGGTACGAGATCTTGGATCGTTTGACGGACGATACCAAAGTAGGATGTTATCAACGATCGGATGAGGTTGGTTTCCATTTCTTCGCGGACAGTCATTCGGGAGCCATCGCTAGGGATCTGCGCAGACAGACAGATGGGCGCAAGGTGAAGATGTCAAGGAAACATATGTCAGTAATGAGTTGACGCAGTAAGATCGCAGTATAGTGCGGCAAAGTAGAATGAAGGTGAAAGGTGGATGAAAATAGAAAGTTGGAGACATGATATAGTAAGAACAGAATGCTTGGACCGGAAATAGATCCAAGTGAAACGGAAAAAAAAAAGTAAAAACTCACAGCTTCGATATGCTTGCCCAAACTCTTCATATCATATGCCGCGCTGTTTCCATCCATACTCCTCATCCCGGCCATAGGACCGGATGTCAACACGGGATCTGCACCAGACAATTCCCGTCCAACTGGAACGATCCTCTCTCCCGAGCCACTGTGACCATGCCCGTGCCCGTGTCCACTACCGTGATGCCTACCACCAGCACTATTAAGAGAATCTAAAGCACCACCGGCAATAGGACCCGGCCCATTTTGCCCGAAAAAGTAGTTCAAGAACGTTTCCCGAGCAGAAGGTGGCGAGGATCCTAGGGTTGCTCCACCTGCTAGACCAGCACCTGTACCTGTAGTGCCGATAGCTGATCGAGGTCTCTGAGGTTGTGAAGGGTGTCTAGAGGAGGATCGCTTGCTAGCACCAATAGTGGCGTTTAATGTGCCGGTGCTTGAGCTAGCGTTTGAAGTGCTAGAGGGTCGTGAACGGTCGTGGACAGTGTTGGAGACTGAGCGGCTGTCACGAGGAGGGAAGATGCTTCCATTGATGCTTGCGTTATCGTCAGAGGCTATTTCTTCGTCGTCTTCTTCAGCACCGTTAATTTGGAAGGGTTCGGTTGAGGCAGGCTATAAACGATATTAGTTTGATGACAAAGAAAGAAATTGAGTTTTTAACGTACTCTAGGGGGAGGTGGTTGAGTTTTGGATGGAGAATTGGCTTGCGCGTGAGCTATCGCTGAACCAGTGACGAATGCAGGGTGATTAGTGTTGATATACGCTGCTTGGATGTCTATCAAGCTTTGTGTGTAATCCGATGTTGGACCCAGACGCTCTCTCAACAATTCAGAAACGACTTCGATAAGTTGAGCATGTAAGCGAGGGAATCTTTGGAGTTCCTAAAGCGCATATGTTAGCCTTCAGTTTCGAAAAAGAACCAGTGACCCAAACTCACCGTACTCGTACAATTATGACAAATCTTGACCAGCTCCTCATAGACCAACTCTACACATCTCAAACTCGGTGCCTCGAGCAACTTTATCTGAGGCTTGACCAACAAGTCAAACGCAATTTCGGGAACAAACAAACTTGGCCTGGGACCCGTCGAGTTCCTGATAGCAGTCCGAATATCCTGGTTATCGAGATTTTGTGTGGCACTTATTGACATGAGAGCGTTGCCGAAAACGTCATTGAAGATGTAGTAAACTCGGGCACCGCCGGAAAGTTCTTTTGTGGAGATGTCGACGTTGGTGCCTTCGATGGAAGAGACAAAGTCGCGGGCGAACTGGGTCATAAGGCGAAGGACAAGGGCACCTTGCTTTTGGAAAGTTAGTATGACGAAATGGAAGAAAATGAAGGTGTAGTTACTTGATTTTTGTCGCCAAAAATGGCCGCATCACCAAACGAGTTGAGTTCTTGTTGAGCTTGTCCCATTAGTGTATTGAGTCGGGCCTTCATATCTGGAAGTTTGTCTCGGATGTGGTTGAGCAAGACCTGTAATGCATCAGACGCCTTTCAGCATATAACAAAGAACATCATACCTGGTTCAGCGTTTTGGCCAAGTATTTCGTCCCATTCTTGTGGGCAATATTCCTGTACGCAGGATGGTTTTTGAAAAACTCCGTCTCGTCGTTGAGCGCATCTTGCATGCTCTTTTCAGAGTTGATGTCTTGTTGGCTACGGTTGACGATACCGATGAAACCGAGTTTAAGAGGGTAAACGCGTCCGGTGAGAATGTCAAACGCGTTGGTGCCGGCATCCATGAGGTCGAGTTTAGTTAGGACACCGATTGTCCGTCGACCTTGAGGATCAACCGAACGGGCGAGTTTGAGGGATTCAGAATTGGCAAGGTCGACATTGGCGGGCGAGACGGCGAGGATGACACTGAAATGATATGTGAGTCGTAACATAAAGGAAATTATGTATGCGCGCACGAGTTGGGTTTTGAGATGTAGTCGATGACGAGGTTGCGTATTTGGCGTTCAATGTCGCTTGGCTGGTCGCCAACAGGAATCTGGAAATGGTCAAGTTAATTAGTTGGACTAAAGAAAAACGAAAGATTATGACACGCCTTTGTCAAACCTGGTAAATCAACCAACGTCAAGTCGAGGACGTTTGGACTAAATATCCTTAAAGATATAGGCAGCTTGCTTATACCCTTGTTCTGCCCCGCAACTCTAAACGTCTCTTGCTCAATTTCTTTTCGAATTTCGGCAAAGTCTGTGAATCTCTTGTCTAAATGTAAAAACTGGCCCCACTCGGTATACGGAAGTGCGTTTGGTGACGGTTCGGAGGGAATTGGAGTGTGAATGAGTTGTAGCACGAGTGGTCTCCGTGTAACAATGCCTTGTCCACGAGGCAGAAAGTCTTTCCCCACAATACTAGGATACAGTCAGAAACTTGAAAGAGCAGTGACCATTCAAAGACATACGTTTCCAAAACACTCGATTTTCCGGCGGACTGGCTACCAACCTAATAGATTCTCTTTCAGCGTTATTTCGCACATGTTCTGCGAAGTTAGACATACAACGACAAGCTGGGGCATGTCAAGCTCCCCTCCTACAAAAATTTATCAGACTTTTTGGGCATTCTGCAGAACAGCAGACAAACCAAGGTTGTTGAAGGTGTCCTGGAGCTTGTTGACGAGCTTGATGAGGTCCGAGTCCATGGTGGTCGGTGCAGACGACTGCTCGTTGGCAATGAGAAGAAAGAATTAGAACGCGCCGAAACTTGGGCTGAATTCAAGCGCGTCGTCACGGCAAGCACGAGTTTGCTCTTGTTTACCGACACCTTCTGTTCCTGACTTTCGTCATGGCTGTCTGCTTCAACTCCATATCCTTTATTTGGTACAAACTCCAGGCTCTAAAGGCCCAATAGCATCCAAGGGAATGCTCCAGAAGATCCTTCAAATCTCCGAGCCCTGTGAAAACTCAGAAAGCCACCTTGACGACGGTAATGACACGCTCATATACCCCGCTAAATTTGGTGCCCATCCGCCTAATCTCTGCAATATCTGGCATTTACTGGTCGGTATCCAGCATCTTCCAGATCTATATAGGCACTATAGCCAAGTGGTTACGGCGACAGATTCGAATTGCGATATCTGTTTCCCTTCGGGAGCGCAGGTTCGAATCCTGCTGGTGTCGGTTTTGAACTGGAATCCTGTTTTGGTGAAAAACTAACCAGTTATTCTAGATTTGGTCTGCAGTTTCCATCATCAAGAGCTTTACATGTATATTTACTAAAACATTCCCATATCTGTACAGCAAATTCACTTGTCAAAAATGATGCTATAGTTATTCCCCGGATGCCTTCCAAGAGCCTCAAAACAGGCCATGCTATCCAGCTGATCACCCTCCGTATCAGGCAAAACTTTAAGCTTGAAATACTCTATCCTAGAATCCAGCAACATAACACAGACAGCTTTCAAAATCTTGTTGTCAAGTCTAGATGGCAAGAACAACTCCAGGTGAGTGAGATAAGGAAGCGAGCTATTGATATATCCAATAAGAGACGGCATCGGATGATGTTCTTTTGGATGGGAGGACAAGTAGCTGAAATGAGTGAGAGATGGCGTCAACAACAACAACTCCTTCATTTTCTCCAGGGAAATGTTGATATCTGAAATTGAAAGCGTCTTCAACGTATCGGCAAACGATCCACGCTCCATCATCCATTCAAAAGTTTCATGATTCCATTCCGGTGTCGGACGAGATGCAAGGTCGATAACTCCGCATGCGGTGATGATAAGAGTGGACAAAGAAGGAAGGGTGAGGAGCTCGAATACATCCAATCTGTTTGGTATGTTGACTACATCACTGTGAAAATTGCTCATGCAAATTTCTAATCTCGTGAGCGCAGGCAACAAATATGGGTGGTCTAGAGCGTTAGGTATATCGGTACCACAAGAATAGTGGAGGATACGAAGGCTTTGGAGCATGGAACAAGGCTTCAAGACATCACAGAACTCGTCTTTCAACTCGCTGATCGTCAACGATGTCAATTGTGACCAGGGAAAATACAACAGCTCTTCAACCACGGGAGAGTGTGGAATGAAAAGACGCCGGAGTAACGGAGCTGTGCCCAGTGAATCACCTGACAGTGGCAGGTACCAGCCATCGCTCATAACGGAATCATCAAATTCGTCCAAAATGATAGAGAGCGATTCCAGTAGAGGAAGACTCCGCGGTATAGGTATCACCGTGACGTCAGGGAAACGTTTCAGAAGGTCCTGGTCAAGAGCCACGACGACTTCCCGCCATCTGTACATCTGGATGGAGAGTAAGGTGAGGATGCCAGACATAGTATTGAGGAAACGGCCAGTAACTCGACCCGATGACAATGCGTCGTGTGTCCCGAGTCCGGGAGGACCAAATGCGTGAAGATCGATTGTCAAAGGTAAAGATTTAGAGTAGCTTAAATACTGTTCAAGCAATCCAAATAGTTGTGCCTTGCCTGACGACAAAGGGCCGGGCAACTCATACATTGAATCGAAGCGGATAACGATGTCCGTCCAAAAGTTCGGTCTCGAAAGACAGACTTGTCTCCAAAGACTACAAGTCTGAGCGATGCTCAGAATTGGGAAAGTCAAGATGTTCACTGTCTTGCCTTGCCTACGGTGCGTCCTAGCCAACTCCGCATCGTCTCGTTCCGGCAAATGAGCGCACCAGGAAAAGATCTCTCCTAGAATCTCCGTTGGGAGTTGATGGACGGGAAATACCAGTGTATGTGTTTTTTCTCTGATCCGTATTAAAGCATCGCGCCCTTTTTCTAAAGTAGCCAAAGTTTTGTGAAGTTTATCGATTTCATGGTTGTATCGGACCAGTTCATTTTCGACATCTTCCCGGCCAGGATTTGGTTGGAAGGAACGTCCACACTGAGTACAAAGGCACACGCATTCGAGGGAGTCTTCATTCATGGCTTCTGACTGTTTGCCCAATGGAATGAATCGAGTAGCACATAACTGAAGATTAGAGCTCACCTGTGCGCGTCGCGGATGAAGGATAGAAAGATCACGTGTACTCTACAACTTGGTCCGTTTCCCAAACTTCAAACTGTCACAGGGAGCTTTAGCCAGCCCTGTATGATGATACTGCGTACCATTTGCATACCATGTGTAGAAATTGGTGCAAAGTCCTCGAAGATTCCAACATACTAATCCTAGGTCTGCTAGTGAACAATTCATCGACCGTGCATCCCTATTCCTCCTGTAAGTTTCCGCAACATCTATCTGGGCTGCGGCTTTATTCACTTATCGAATATTCTTTCGTCCTCTCTGCCATGTCCCTGGACTACAGCTTGCAGCACTGACAAATTACTATGCCGGCTGCTAGTATGATCTCTTCAAAGGATCTGCGTCTGTATAACACTACGTGAGTACAATCCGCTGCTGTCCGAATCCTGGCGGAATCACTCACTTTAGTTTTCAACTAGCATCAATGATTTCAAGGAACTTAGAGATTTCGATTTCTTTGTTCCAGTCTGGTGTGGGAAGGACCAGGAAGTTGTGAACGGTTGGAGGTCCATCTGATCTTTCCTCAAAATTGTGGGCGAGGAATCTGCAACTAAATGAAATTGCTATTGAGACGTCAGGACCAAACTGCATATACATCGGTGGATAACCTTAACCTGTATGAGGGCTGATATCCAACGGCCGAGAAGTCATGCGACACAGAACTTGATGGAGAAGCGTATAATATCTTAGAGAACTCCAGGTCTCAGGTGACAGGAACAAGACTCTGGTGTGCCAGCGTCATATCAAACCCAATCCTTGTTCGTCACTTGAATACAACCATGTACAGCTGGCTGTTCCTCCTGCTTTGCACGATATCCATCTGGTTTGCGACTCTGCCTCTCTACCGACTCTTTCTCCACCCTCTCCGCAGATTTCCTGGTCCATGGTTGGCGTCACTGACAGACTATTATGCAGGTTACTATGATCTCATTAAAGGTGGAGGCTTCTTGAAACGTATAGAGCAGCTTCATGCGCGATACGGTGAGCTTCAAGTTACGAAATCGCTATTCGGCTTTAACTGGTAACTTTTCGCAGGTCCTGTCGTTAGGGTCGGTCCAAATACTGTGCGTCGCTTTTTCTTTGACTCTGAATTGAGCCCTGACACGCAAAAGCTTCATTTTGCAGAGCCCCAAGCCTTTGATGACATCTATGCTCACGGCATATCATTTGTAAAAGCGAATCAGTTATACCGTGGTTTTGTCCACGCCTCGGAATCTTCTGCTATCTTCATGGATCCAAAAAAAGCTCGGCAACGCAGAATGTTACTGAGCCCTCTGTTTTCGCGTCGTGCAATCACCAAGCTCAAAGATTTAATTCAGGATAAGGTCAATAGAGCTTTACTTTACATTGTTCCTCTTTTAACAAGTTTGACTATCAGGTGGACAAGCTGACCCTGCGTATCAAAGATTATCCAGAAGAACCAGTCAATCTGGCATTCGGATTCCGTTCTCTCACAATGGAGATAATCACCTCGTATTGCTTTGCGACCGGATATGATACTCTAGAACATCCAACTTTTCACCATCCACTTATCAAAGCGCGGCAGAAATTAATCAGAAGATTCTGGCTTATGAAGCACTTTCCATCCCTCGTGCGGTTGAGCATGGCCGCACCAATCTGGATTATCAAGTTAATCGATCCAGGTCTGGTTGAACCCACGAACATGATGCTTGGCCTGAAGAAGCGTATCAAGCTGTATTTGGAGGATCAAAGCCAGCTTCAAAGTGTCGAACATGAAACTATTTTCCATCGTCTCATAATGCCGGAAACCAAGGGCGGCGTAATCGACCAGTCTCTTCGCCCGTCGGAAAAGTCTCTCCTCCACGAAGCCAATTCACTTATTGGAGCGGGTAGCGACTCAGTCGCGGATACATGTTGTATTGCGACATGCTATGCTCTCCACAATCGTGAAATCATTGGAAAACTGAAGGAAGAACTGTGCGAAGCTTGGCCTGACGAAGATTCCACTCCAGACTTATCTGTCCTCGAACAGTTGCCATATCTAGTAAGTTTTATTTTAATTTTACTATGCCTGATGGATATAGACAACTTGAATTTGTTCAGACGGCACTTATCAAAGAAGCACTACGTTTCTCTCATGGAGTCGTCACGCCGCTGCCTCGTACTGTTGGTTCATCTGACGCGATAATAGGCGGATTCCATGTTCCGGCTGGCGTAAGTGCTGTGAAGACTTTGTACTTTTAAAAACTCATGGCTGATCACAGACTGACGTCGAGATGAGCTGTGTTTTTCTGCATAAGAATCCTATTGTTTTTCAGGATCCCAATGCTTTCTCACCAGAGAGGTGGATGGGTCCTAATTCGAAGGAACTTGAAAATTATCTCGTTCCGTTTTCAAAAGGACCCCGCATGTGGTGAGTGTTATAATCGAAGACTCTCATCCCCTAACGATCTTGCTTCTAGCTTGGGCATCAAGTAAGGACAGCGGATGTAAATTTTTTTGATATGCTGAAAATGAATGTCAGTTTGGCATGGTGTGAACTATACCTAATTCTCGGAACGATCTTCAGAAGGTTGGATTTATGTCTATATGATACAAGGTGAGAGTGGTTTTCATTTAGCGCGAAATCACTTATTTCGGTCTCCGAATAGCGTCAATGATTACGAGGAATTCAGGGAAGTCTTCGTTCCGATCTGGTGTGGGAAGGACTTGAGAGTCGTAAAGCATTCGAAGTCCTGATTATGATCTGATCTTCTCATTTGTGTAATATATGTAAATCTGCCTCAGCGTTAACTCACATTTGCGAGAGTCATCTAGAGTGGAAAATTAGGACTCGGAAAATACGCCAGAAAATGACTGAGTTTGTTAAATTCACCTCTTTAGTAGCCTCAGGCCGCCTGATAGAGTTGTGTATGTCTTCATTTCGCACTCTCCTGGAACTAAGAGCGAAAATTTCGCATATGCTTCATTATAGGACGTGTTATAGGGGGTCGGATCTGGATATATTTGCTGAAGTAGTTGGACTATAGACCTGGAAATGTCTGTATGCATGTGTGGGTTGTCAATGAGGTAAAGTTTATGCTAGCGTAACCAACTGCGTATTGACCAAGTTACCTACCCGCTTTTGCAGTCGAGGGGCACAGCTCGACGGCCAAAGCAAAGTGACAGCCG